TATATGGCTTTATAAACCCTTCCCACACTCTTGCAATGTTCTAAACTCTTAAACCTACGTCATTTTAATATACATATACAGTGAGGAAAATCTGAACACCCTGCAACTTTGCAAGTTCTCCCACTTAGAAATCATGGAGGGGTCTGAAGTTTTCATCTTAGGTGCATGTCCACTGTGAGAGACATAATCTAAAAAATAAATCCTGAAATAACAATGATTTTTAAAATAATTTATTTGTGTGTTACTGCTGCAAATAAGTATTTGAACTCCTGTGAAAATCAATGTTAATATTTGGTACAGCATCCTTTGTTTACAGTTACAGAGGTCAAAGGTTTCCTGTAGTGTTTCACCAGGTGTGCTCACACTGCAGCAGAGATTTTGACCCATTCCTCCACACAGATCTTCTCTAGATCAGCCAGGTTCCTGGGCTGTTGCTGAGAAACACGGAGTTTGAGCTCCCTCCAAAGATTTTCTATAGGGTTTAGGTCTGGAGACTGGCTAGGACACTCCAGAACCTTGATATGCTTCTTACGGAGCCACTCCTTGGTTCTCCTGGCTGTGTGCTTCGGGTCATTGTCATGTTGGAAGATCCAGCCACGACTCATCTTCAATGCTCTCACTGAGGGAAGGAGGTTGTTCCTCAAAATCTCACAATACATGGCCCCGGTCATCCTCTCCTTAATACAGTGCAGTCGTCCTGTCCCATGTGCAGAAAAACACCCCAAAGCATGATGCTTCCACCCCCATGCTTCACAGTAGGGATGGTGTTTTTGGGATGGTACTCATCTTTCTTCATCCTCCAAACACGGCGAGTGGAATTAAGACCAAAAAATTCTATTTTGGTCTCATCTGATTACAGGACTTTCTCCCACGACTCCTCTGGATCATCCAAATGGTCATGGGCAAACTTAGGACGGGCCTGGACGTGTGCTGATTTAAGCAGGGGAACCTTCCGTGCCATGCATGATTTTAAAATATGACATCACAGTAACCTTGGAAACAGTGATGCCAGCTCTCTTCGGGTCATTGACCAGCTCCTCCCATGTAGTTCTGGGCTGATTCCTCACCTTTCTTAGGATCATTGATATGCCACGAGGTGAGATCTTGCATGGAGCCCCAGTCCGAGGGAGATTGACAGTCATGTTTAGCTTCTTCCATTTTCTAATAATTGCTCCAACAGTTGATCTTTTTTCACCAAGCTGCTTGGCACTTGCCCCGTAGCCCTTTCCAGCCTTGTGGAGATCTACAATTCTGTCTCTGGTGTCTTTGGACAGCTCTTTGGTCTTAGCCATGTTAGTAGTTGGAGTCTTACAGATTGTGTGGGGTGGACAGGTGTCTTTATGCAGCTAACCACCTCAAACAGGTGCTTCTAATTTAGAATAATAAGTGGAGTGGAGGTGGACTTTTTAGAGGTGGACTAACAGGTCTTTGAGGACCAGAATTATTGCTGATTGGCAGGTGTTCAAATACTTATTTGCAGCAATAACACACAAATAAATTATTTAAGCATCTTACATTGTGATTTCTGATTTTTTTTAAATTTTTTAGATTATGTCTCTCACAGTGGACTTGCACCTAAGATGAAAATTTCCGACCCCTCCATGATTTCTAAGTGGGAGAATTTGCAAAGTCGCAGGGTGTTCAAATACTTATTTTCCTCACTGTATGTATTGCACAGTATTGCAAAATTTTCCTCACCAGCTCTGCAGACCAGCAGCTCTGTTCCGGTCAGGCTCGGTTCTGGTTCATCAGACCTACCCTGCAGCAACAAAGCCCACCGCTCCGTCCAGGTTGACGTGCACGTGGATAATTGAGTTTCAGGAAGCTTCAGGATTATTTGAACTTTCCTGTCAGTTCTGAGAGATTCATAGATGGATCGTTAAAAACTTTCTCTTCATTTCTGCAGATCGCAGCGGCCGGAAGCACTGTTGGCTTCTGGGTAGTGTAGTTCTTTTGACTGGTGTTGCAGTGTAGGCTTATTGAAAGGAAACTACAAAATGACGGCGCCTTTCCAAAGTATTGTTTTTTTCGTTAATTTTTTTTATCCCGTATCGTCTCAAACACGTGAGTAATATTAAAGTTGACAATCACTGAAAAGCCGTGAAAGAGCGAGTCCGTGAAAGTTGAACCATGAAGTATTGATGGACTACTGTAGACAAACGACGTTGACTCATGGAGCACACAGACAGAAGCATTGTCTGCCTTCTCCTTTGAGCAGCAAGTGGTAATTATGGTATGCCAGACTACAGGCTGTTAGAAAATGAGTCTGCTCTTTGATTAAAACAATAAGCCTCACATCGGCTTAAATCACAGGTTTGTGTCGTTCCTTCTGTGCGTTACTGTGACCATTCTGTCCGTCGAGGTGCTCATTGTTCTGTGGCCTCGTTTCTCCACAGACTTCTGCCTCAGCTTTGTTCTCAGATCTGTTTGTCACTTTGTGATCCACGGAAATGAGGAGAAAATTTTTGGAATAAAGTTGTTTTTCTGCTTTTCTGCTTACAAGCTGCCTGAGAACAGCTCCTTCATTTTGTCTTTCTCTTGCCCGTCATGCTGTCCCTCTGATGCACTCTGCAGTTTCTGTGATGGTCTCCTCTGACCGCAGCGCTGTTATCCAACAAAACCCCAACAGGGAGCTGACACGAACGGCAAGAACTGTTCAAAATGAGGCGCACGGATAAAAACCAACTGGTTGTTCAAAACTTGAACGCAGTACTGATTTGAAAATCGTTTTATTAACAGTAATGGTTGGGTGAGCGAGAAAAAAAAAAGTATAGAGGTTTTATGCATGATGCAGTCTTGGTTTAATAGTTCTTGTATTTTTGCATTTATTTAAATCTAAGCTGTTGAAATCATGGCAGTGTGAAAAGCTGTTTTTGTTCTCGGCACAAATGTTTTTGTTGCATGAGGCGTCTTAATACCAGTTCATGGTGATGGTTTCCAATTATGTGAAGCAATAAGTGCGTGATTACCCTTTAGTAACCTTCCAGTTCATGTGTGGAGATGAGGAGGGGTCTTTGTGCCTTTCCTTCAAATTCTCATTTTTTTCTGTCTCTCTATTTTGAAAGCTCTGTTCTGCCCTCTAGTGGCTCAGTAGTAGAAGTACATCTGATAACTACACAAGTTACAGACCGATAGACCTTTTATTTTAGTACACTTGTTTTTCAGGAGATCTTATCTTCATGTTGAGTTTCTTGTAATGCAAGTCAGAAATTTAATTTGGTCAAATATTGACATAAAATGAAACTTTCTTTCCTCTCTCCTCAGTTTCCTCGTCAGATTTGGTTCAGCTGACCGGCTCACTGAAGCGTCCCGGGTCGTCCAGCCATCTCCGTGTCCTCCACAACCCTCTGACCTCTGGTCTGAACCCAGAAGGGATCTACGTTTGACCCCCCCCCCCCCCCCCCCCCCTCCACACACACCCACCACTACACACACACACAAACATAACTGATGTGTGAGTCAACACGGAAAGTGCAGGACGCCTGGACTATGCATTCTGTTTTTTTAATGTTTAGTGTGAAGATGCAGTGAATCAACAATCTCTGAAGAGAAGTTACTGAGCACTTGGTGGAAAGAAACAATGATTTGCGGTGATGGCATTCACTAAAAAAAAAAAAACACGGCCTCACATTCTGAGGCTCACAGAACTCTCTTAAACACCTGTCTGTTGTGGGTTTTCTTAATCAACACGTGGTGTAGTTTTACTTCAGCACCTGCTGAATGATCTGCATTCTTCTCTCTTCAGCATCTTGATTTAAAAACCTGCCTTCCAGACAGTATTCTTGAGAATCTTGATAAATGTATCTGTATTATTATCTCTCCAGCGTTAACAGCTGGCTCTTATAGAAGTGAAGGATCCATGTCGTCTGTTGTAGAACTGTGAACACTCTTTCTCTGTGCTCGGTTCAAGTTGAAACTATGCACAAAATGCTTAATATTTTTCTGACTGATGAATGTTTCAGTCCATATTTACCAAAACGATGGCTTACTGTAAACGTTTAACACTTTTTAGCTTTATGTAGGGAGTTTTATTTTATTATAAAAAGGGTGCGTATACAGTTAGCAACGTATAAAAAGCTGCAGATTAAAACAGTGTTAACAATCTTCTGTAGCTGAATTTAGTTTGTTAAAGAGCTACAAAGTCTATTTTTTTCCTGAATGTATCGTGCTTGTTTCTCTGAATGATCTTCGGCCAAAGATTTGCAGGTCTAGTTGCATGATCATGATGGCCGTATGTGAATGTGCAGAGTACTCGCAGTCCGTTGAGTCTGTTAGATGAGCTCCCGATGGCAGCATGTCACACGGTTAGTTCCAGCTGATTAAAATGGCCTGTGTGCGTTTGTCAGCATGCGTTCACACATAGATTAGTCGAAGGTTTGCAGCACCTCCTCGACTCTAGATAATCAGCTGATGTGTGTGTTTATGTCTGTGTGTGAGTCTCAGAAAAGCCAATTTATGAAGCTCCTTTTAAGGTTGTAGTCCAGCTGCTAAACACTTCAAAGTGCCTTACACTCATTCCACAAATGGTGCGTTCAAATACTGTACAGTAAATATTTGGTGAGAACCTGAAGGAATATAAATCAGGATCAAAACGTTCTGATCTGCAACAGATAACTTCAGCATGGCATTTTTTTTTTCTGTTGGTGTTTTATAGAAATGTTGAAGGAGAAACTTTGATTGCTCTGAACTTTGCCACTGTCTCGTCACTACAAACCTACACACTCTGAAATGTACTCAAACTGAAGTGGATCTTTTTCCCTCCTCGTCGTACATCACGTGTACTGTAACTTGGATCGTGGTCACTGTTTACATCTTCACGTCTTCTAGAAAACTTTAAGATGTCAACTTTAAATAACCTTGATTTTTTTTTGTATGTATTCTATTTTTCCTTGCCTTAATCAACTGCAGATTGTTGACGTGTCTGTGTGTGTGAATGTGTGTGTGTGGCTGCAACAGGCTGCTGATGTGACGTGGATCGCATGGTTCAATAAACCATCTGATGAAACCAGCTGTCTCATGACTGATGCTTGCTGAAACTGCATAAAAATATTTGTAGATGCAGTGAAAGAAAACCGTGTCCAGTTTTACACCAGCAGAGGGAGACATTTACACACTGATGTGGAATCAAGAGGAAGATGCTAAAAAATATGCTTCTTTAACAACCTGTTAAGAAACTGGTCCAGTATAGCACGTGTGTGTTTGAAAGAAATGTGAACTTCTGCTTTAAGTAGGTGTTTTTGCAACAATATGTTCAGATAAGTGTTGCTCCATGTTGTTTATCTGAGAGTCATTATTTTCATCTGGCACTAACAAATCGTTATTTGAATAAAGTCACTATTCCAAAACATAAATATATTTGTTTAAAATGGTTTAAAGTAAAAAAAAAAAAACTCTGTTCTGTTCAGATTGTCTTCTATTGCGCAGCAGTGTGGACTTTCAGCAGGAAGGTGAAGTTTTGAATCTCAGCTGTGGCTTCATGGGGTGAATGTTTATGAAGCATTACCACTATTGTGATCCATTTTTCTTCCATACATTTTTTCGGTGTCTTTCTCGTCCCGCAGATTTTAAGCTATTTCAACAAATAATGTCAAAACGTTCAGGAGAAGGGTGCTTTGACTTTTGGTATTGGTGCAGCTTCAGCTTTCTGAAATATTAAACCTTTTCTGCCACTTTTTCCTTATATAAAATGAATTGAGCTCATTTTACATCCTTCAAATCTTTAGATCTGTTTACAACCTTTTACTTTCACATTTTGTTCTGGTTCAGCTTCTTTGTGCAAATTTAAACTTTTTTCGGCTACTTTCAGCAAATTTCAGCTGATTTTTTTTTTTTTTTTTTTTTTAACTTTTGTGCTCCTTTTAGATTATTTCTGCTAACTACAACATTCTTGTCCTAACGTCTTTCTGATAATTTCGGCTTGTTATGCTCCTTTCAGCTTATTTCTGCAAGTTTCAGCTTTTTCTATTATTTAGCTGTTTTCATGTTAATTTAAGCTTTTTCAGCTAATTCCACATTTTTTGCACTTCTTTCAACTTTTATCAGCAGAATTCAGCAAAAATGTGCTCTCTACCTTTTTGAAATTTCAGCTTCTTTCTGCTTTTTAAGCTACTTTTCACTTGTATTTTTTTGCTAATTTCAGCTTTTTTCAGATAATTTCCACTTTTTGTGCTCATTTCTGCTTCTTTCAACAAACATGTTTGTTCTATTGCTAATTTAAGCTTGTTCTACCTGTTCAGCTACCTTTTTTCTTTTTAGCATTTTTAGCTAATTTCAGCTGTTTTCAGATAAATTCGACATTTTATGGTAATTTCTGCTACTTTCAGCCTAATTAACTTCTTTCTGATAAATTCAACTTATGCTCCTTTCAGCTAGTTTCTGCCCTTTTTGCAATTTCAGCTACTTTTTAGCTGTTTTGTACTAAATTGAGCTTTTTCCGCTAATTCCACATTTTTCAGCTCATCTCAGCTCCTTCCACTTCGTTCTTGCAATTTAAGCTTCTTTCTGTCTTTTCAGCTACTTTTCAGATGTTTATTTTTTGCTAATTTCAGCTTTTTTAGCTAATTTTCTTTGCTCATTTCTGCTTATTTATTTAAACCTAATTCAGCAAATACGTGTTCTTTCTGCTTTCTTCTGCTAACTTGGGCTTGTTCTTCCATTTCAGCTAAATTTCAGCAAGTGCACAATAAGTATTCACACTGCATTTTTGCAGGAAATGTAATTTCATTAGTTGTGATTAAAGTTGGTCGGCTTTCTCTGATGGGTTTTGTCTAAATGTTCTCACAGTCTTATCCTAAATGTGAGTTTGTGTCTGCAGACTGTGTCTTGTACGGTTTGTGTCCCTGTGATGTGCTGGTGACCAGTCCAGGTCACCTTTCACCTGCTGACTGATGGAGTTAGGCACCAGTAACCTGAGCACGGTTAAGTTGGTAAAAAAAAAGAATCTATTCTTCTACAAAGATGATGAGCTCATTTGTGACCGCATGCTTTAAACCGGACCTGACCCAATGTTGGAGCCACGACTGAAAAAGCCCAATCTCCTCTGAACTTCAACCTAGCTTTCAGGAAGACCAAAGCAGTTATAGTCAGATTATCTCAGTGCTCGAGAAGTAACATATGGTTGAAGTAACTCGGAGAGTGCAGGAGTTCAAGTATCTCGGGGTCTTGTTCACGAATGAGGGGAAAATGGAGCGAGAGATCCGATAGGTGAATAGGTGCAGCACCTGCAGTGAAGCGGGCGTTGTACCGGTCTGTCGTGGTGAAGAGAGAGCTGAGTCAAAAGGTGAAGCTCTCAATTTACCAGTCGATCTACGTTCCTACCATCATCTATGGTCATGAGCTTTGGGTTGTGACCAAAAGAACGAGATCACAGATACAGGCGGCTGAAATGAGTTTTCACCGCAGGGTGTCTGGGCTCTCCCTTAGAGATGGGGTGAGAAGCTCGGTCATCCAGGAGGGACTCGGAGTAGAGCCACTGCTGCTCCATGTCGAGAGGAGCCAGTTGAGGTGGCTCGGGCATCTGGTTAGGATGCCTCCTGGACGCCTCCCTGGTGAGGTGTTCCGAGCACGTCCCACCGGGAGGAGACCCAGCGGAAGACCCAGGACATGCTGGAGGGACTATGTTTCTCGGCTGGCCTGGGAACGCCTCAGGATTCCCCCGGAGGAGCTGGACCAAGTGGCTAGGGAGAGGGAAGTCTGGGCCTCCCTACTTAAGCTGCTACCCCCGCGACCCATCCCCGGATAAGCGAAGAAAATGGATAAATGGATGGATAGCTCAGAGAGGTATGAGGGTGAGAGACCATTTAGGTGCTTAATAGTAAACAGGAGAATTTTAAAATGTATTTGTAGAGGGAGCCAGTGAAAGGAGGACAAAACTGGTGAAGTATGATCAAACCTACGAGTTATTAATAGCCAAGCTGCAGCATTTTGGATGAGCTGGAGACGTGAAAGACCAGACTAACCCCGCCATAAAGTAAGTTACAATAATCAAGTCTGGTTGTAATGAAGGCGTGGACTCTTTTCTCCAGTTTTATTATCGTTAAAACTTAAAAAATCTGAATCCATCAAGCTTTAACGTCAAGACATTTTAACAGAGGGTGAATGGAGCAAGAACTTTTAGGTTTTAAGAGCAGATAAATCTGGCAATCATCAGCATAACAATGAAAAGAAAGACCACAGGATAGGTCTATTTTTAATAATACATATATTTACTAATGTTTTTAATAATCAGAAGGTTTTGTGAACCTCAGAACTGGTGTCTTACCTAAAATAAAACTGAAAATGCCTCATTCTACTTTCATTTTATTAAGACTTTAAATAAAAAACGTCTGGTTTTGATTCTGTGTAAAGCTTTTGAAAAGTTAGGAGGTCTTTCAGTTTTTCATCTTCATGGGCTTTTCATCACATGACTTTTGTTCAAAACTTCGGCTTATTGTTCATTCTTCTGCTGCGAGCCGTCAGCCGATGTTAAAACTCCTTCCATCCACTGAACCACTGAACCATCACCGCTCTTCTTTTGAATTCTTCTGTTTTAAGCTAGTTTTTTTTGTTTCCTCTCATGGCCCGTTTCTAACAGATTCACCCCAAACTAACCAACGTTACGGTGACGACATACATGCAGAGCAAGAAAACGGCTGCAAAGTTGAGTTTTTGATATTTATTTTACAACTCATCAGCAATAATTTAGAACAGCATACAGCATCAATGAAAGGTGCAACAGTTGCTCAGTTAAATCTTAAAAAAAAAAAAAGAGAAGGGGGAAAAAAATTCATAAACTACAACAATAAGACATGTTTACTTAATGGTAAAATATGTACAAACATACATGCCACTTTGATAAGAGACGCGAGGCAAAACCAGCTGACTTAAAACTACAAAAGCATTTGAATGTCTGCCAAATACGACGTTTGTGCTCATTTAGTCACGTGTTAAAGTTAAAAAGTGGTTAGATGTTGGAGGTAATCCGTTACAAAAAAGAGGCCAAGAAAAAGTTCTTCACATGGCGGTAATAAACACAAGTTGTCAGTTTTTTAGGGTTCAGGTTGATGCATGAAATCCTCACAAAGCATCTTCCGGATGAAACTGGATCATATCAAGACAGCTCAACAAAGAGAAGTACAGTGATTAACTTTCAAAATGACCAACTGGAGGGGTGGGGGCAGAAAAAAGTGCACTTTTATGCCTCATCCTAGCTGGGAAAATATAAGTACATTCAATAAGAAAGCTCTCTAAGGTGCTATCCTACAATGTTCCTGGAAACTCTTTTCTTACATCACAAGCAAATAAAACTTCTTTTGAAGAGGGACTGATGTTAAATCAGCTTTTTGTTGGGAAGCAGGGACCAATCAGTTGTTTTCAGGAGGGGCAGTAATGTGTCCCCCCCCCCCCACTCCCTGAACCAGCCTGCCTCCGTGCAAACTTGGAGTGAGGTAATGAGGGTTCTCCTCTGGGCCCATTTAATGAACGAGACTACCTCGGAGCTAATATTTACAGTCAGCCTGCAGCTTCTTACAGACAGAGGTCAGGTCGTGAGGGTTCTGCTGCCCTGCTGCCGTTGAGCAAAGGGGCTTGTTGTTTTGGCACCGATGTCAAAACGTTTTTATCAAAGAGGATATAAAAACTCCTTCCAGCTGTGAAGTGTCAATCATTGGTCGTTCAGATTGTTTGTGCAAAAGGCACGCGCAGTCAGTCACAATAAGGTTTGTACACATGCTGTGCAGCTCCTCGGTTTGCCTCATTAGCTGCTCTGGCACGCGGTGAACTGCGCGTGAGCCGGACTGTTCCGCTCCGGGGACGCGTCGCCTGCGTCACCCTCTCCGTCACTAACGGGACTTTCCTCGAGCTCCTCAGCTGAGCCCGTCTCTGCCTCGTGCGGTCCGGAGTCTCTGGACTGAGGGGGGGCTCCGAGGTGCGCGGACAGGCCGGGGAAGGCGGCGGCAGCAGCCGCGGCCGCGTGCGCCGGATACAGCCATGGGAAAGGAGAGGCCAGAGCCGCCGCCGCCGCCGCGGGGTACATGTACTTCTCAAGGCTGTTCTTGTCGAAAAAAGGCAGATACGGCGCCGCGGCCGACGGGTTGATGAAGTAGAAAGGCATGCAGATCGGTGTCTGCTGTCCCGCCGAGTTCACTCCCATCAGAGAGTTCATGAACGCCACATCTGGCCTGCTTTGCTCCGCGCCGCCCATCCCGTTCCCAGACCAGCACGTTTTAGTCTTTTTGGCCGCCCTGTCGTCTCCAAACTCCTGCTTCACCTTCACCGCCCTGGCGCCCGGAGCCTTGCGCGCGCACTCCCTCTCCTTCCCGTCGCTCTTCTCCGCCTCCCCGCCGTACCCGCTGTCCGTGTCCGTGTCGTTCTCGTTCAGCTCCCCGCCCTGGGTCCTCTGGATCACCGGCACGCAGTTAGCCTGGCCGTCGGGCTTGTGCGCGTCCCCGGCTGCGGGCAGCTGGTGCTGCGCCGGCGCGTCAGGCTGAAACTGCGCCAGCGCCTTGTGGAGGTGGCTGATGAGCTGCGCGCACCTCTGCTCCCTCGCAGCCCAGTTCTCGGACTGACTCAGGTACTGCAGGACCTCCTTGGCGCACGTCTGGAACCCGGAGTGGAACGCATCCAGATCCGCGTGTACGGGGGGCTTCATGCAGCGGTCTCCTGCGCAGACGGATAGAAGTGGCCACAACGTTTAGAAGCTGCATTTTTATCCATGTAAATGATCTGTCCTTGAAGTCTAAGCTGAAACAAAGTTACTTTAAACCCAGTTGCTTTAACTGGTCTGGAGCTCACCGTTCTGCAGCGCGAGGATCTTCTGGTGCTGCTGCTCCGTGACAGCAGTCAGTGCGTTTAAATGTTTCAGCGTGAGCTCCAGAACCACAGCTTTCTCCAAGTGTCCGAGCGTCTGTGGAGGAAAGAAAAACAGTCATCTGTCTGCTTGGACCGTTCCAAACCTTTCTCTGATCAATAAAATAAAATCAACTTTTTAATTTAAATAAAACCTCACCGACAGCTTCAGGTTTTCTGGTAACAAGTCCTTCAGCTGCCCAATACATTCATTAATCCTGTCTCTCCTCTTCTTCTCTATCAGCCGGTGCGGTAACTTGTACGCGTCCTGGTGCCAAAAAAAAATACAAGCATTAAACAGAAATATGGCCCAAAAGTGTAAAAAGAAATAATAAAAAGTTAGGTTCTTAGCTTGGAAACGGAAGTGTTTAAATGGAACATGAAGTGCGCACCTTCCCACCGTCCTCCCGCTTTATGCCTCTTTTAGATTTGCACATGTAGAGCGGCGGGAAATCCACCCTGCAGACAAACAGAGAGGGATGATGAGGCTGCCATCATGCTTCACTTTCAGAAAGAAGCTGCGCTTACCCCAAGAAGTCCGCGTGCTCCATGAACTGCCTTTCATCCATCACTTCTCCGCCGCCGAGCTGCTTCTGAGCTGCTTTACTTTGGGTGGAGAGATGTTTGCTGCTCCTGCTGCCACACACACACACACACACACCAACACACGTGCGCGCGCGCACTGAGGGAGACGGTGGAGCGGAGCGTGCGTCCTCCAGCCGAGCTGCGATTCACTGGTGTCGGTGGAAGCCCGAGCTGCCACTTCGCGAAGCTGTCGGCTCTGTTTTGTTAGAGCGCACGCGCGCCTCTGGTCGGGGAGCAGCTTCCGTCTCACGTGTAGGCTGCACCAGCACAAAGTCCAGTAATTAGACCGCGCGTGTGTGCGCGCGCGAGCGTGTGTGTGTGTGTGCTGTTCCTATAGAGATGGAGCCGTCAGCATCTGACTGCTGAAGCGCGGTTATGCTGCAGGTGCGCGCACACACAAGAGACTGTAACAAATAAAAAAATAAATCAAACTTACTGCTCTTATTTATGAGCAGCTGAGTGGGCTGTTCTCAGGGGCACCACCAAAGGGGGGTTCCACCTGTCCGCAACCCCCCAACTGGCCAGATAGTATTTTTCACTGGAGTAGACAAACACTGGAATGGGCGCAGACGGCGTTGGGTGAGATTTTGGTCGCCATCTTGTAAAGTGCTATAGGTTTCACTCAGGGCCGCCTCCAGAAATGTTTAAATGGGGTGGTCCTGTTGTGTGTGATTTTGTGTGTGTGTGTAAATGTCTAAAGCTGTAAATAAAAATATTTTAAAAACAAATCACAATCAGCAATTATGAACTGTCCATTTTACTTTATCATTTTATTTGTTTATTTGATTTTTCAGGTCACATTAGTTTCAGAAAAGCATTGTCACAAGGTATTGAAGCTCGTCCTTTCCTAACTTTGTATTACGGGTAGTTCCATGAGAAGTTTGAAATTGTGATATTTTATTGTTTTAGTTTGTTTTTAGCTATTTCTTTATATATTTGTGAACTATTCAAGTCCTAATATTTTAATTTATTATATTGTTATTTGTTCCTTTTTGTTCTTAACCTCCTTGTGAAGCACTTTGCTCAACGTTGTTTAAATGTGCTAAATACAGTGCCTTGTGAAAGTATTCGGCCCCCTTGAACTTTTCAACCTTTTGCCACATTTCAGGCTTCAAACATAGATATAAATTTTTTGTTTTTTGTGAAGAATCAACAAGTGGGACACCATCATGAAGTGGAATGAAATTTATTGGATGTGTCGAACTTTTTTAACAAATAAAAAACTGAAAAGTGGGGCGTGCAATATTATTCGGCCCCCTTGCGTTAATACTTTGTAGCGCTGCCTTTTGCTGCAGTTCCAGCTGCAAGTCTCTTGGGGTTTGTCTCTATCAGTTTTGCCCATGGAGAGACTGAAGTTCTTGCCCATTCTTTCTTGCAAAACAGCTCAAGGTCAGTGAGGTTGGATGGAGAGCGTTTGTGAACAGCAGTCTTCAGCTCTTTCCACAGATTCTCGATTGGAGTCAGGTCTGGACTTTGACTTGGCCATTCCAACACCTGGATACGTTTATTTGTGAACCATTCCATTGTAGATGTGTCTTTATGTTTTGGATCATTGTCTTGCTGGAAGATAAATCTCCGTCCCAGTCTCAGGTCTCTTGCAGACTCAAACAGGTTTTCTTCCAGAATGGTCCTGTATTTGGCCCCATCCATCTTCCCATCAATTCTGACCATCTTCCCTGTCCCTGCTGACGAAAAGCAGGCCCAAACCATGATGCTGCCACCACCATGTTTGACAGTGGGGATGGTGTGTTCAGGGTGATGAGTTGTGTTGCTTTTACACCAAACATATCGTTTTGCATTGTGGCCAAACAGTTGTATTTTGGTTTCATGTGACCAGAGCACCTTATTCCACATGTTTGGTGTGTCTCCCAGGTGCTTGTGACTAACTTTAAACAACACTTTTTATGGATATCTTTGAGAAATGGCTTTCTTCTTGCCACTCTTCCATAAAGTCAGATTTGTGCAGTGTACGACTGATTGTTGTCCTATGGACAGACTCTCCCACCTCAGCTGTAGATCTCTGCAGTTCATCCAGAGTGATCATGGGCCTCTTGGCTGCATCTCTGATCAGTCTTCTCCTTGTTCGAGATGAAAGTTTAGAGGGACGGCCGGGTCTTGGTAGATTTGCAGTGGCCTGAAACTGCTTCCATTTCAATATGATTGCTTGCACAGTGCTCCTTGGGATGTTTAAAGCTTGGGAAATCTTTTTGGATCCAAATCCGGCTTTAAACTTCCCCACAACAGTATCTCGGACCTGCCTGGTGTGTTCCTTGGTCTTCATGATGCTCTCTGTGCTTTGAACAGAACCCTGAGACTATCACAGAGCAGGTGCATTTATATGAAGACTTGATTACACACAGGTGGATTCTATTTATCATGATCAGTCATTTGGGACAACATTGGATCATTCATAGATCCTCACTGAACTTCTGGAGTGAGTTTGATGCACTGAAAGTAAAGGGGCCGAATAATATTGCACGCCCACTTTTCAGTTTTTTATTTGTTAAAAAAGTTTGAAACATCCAATAAATTTCATTCCACTTCACTATTGTGTCCCACTTGTTGTTGATTCTTCACAAAAAATTAACATTTTATATCTTTATGTTTGAAGCCTGAAATGTGGCAAAAGGTTGAAAAGTTCAAGGGGGCCGAATACTTTCGCAAGGCATTGTATGTAAAATTGACCTTGACATTCACATTTATTTATAAAAAAATAAAAGAGCCGCCTGGGCCCCTACATCCTAATGTTGAGGACACTGGTTTTAGGCCAGTTGTCCTTATTCAAGGGAAACATATTTTAAGTTTGATCTTTAACTTTAAATATGTCATTTTGTATTTTTAACTCCTAATTGCTCAAATACAATGTTGAGGTTCTAATCCGACTACGGGAAATTTAAAATGCACACAAAGCAAAAGCTCAAAAGGTGTAAACTGTCTGGCCAAGGGTAACCTGTGTGGGGAAGGGGCTCCAGGTTTTTAGGGGTGGTCATTGCCCCCTCTTTTTCCCCTTTAATGGTGCCCCTGGTATCATTCTATACAGTTTAAATGTTAATGCCTTGTATGTGGAGTTTGCCGAATCATCAGAGTGCTAAAAAAATTCATTCTCATTTTGCTTACATGTTTGTTAAAAACAGAAAATAGTATTCTGTTATGAACCTCCCAACAAGCTTGGTCAAACATTACTGCGAGCAAAATGCCGACTCAGTACTCTGCTCTAAAATGATCAACTAGTGCGATCATTGTAACCTGACCAGAACATAACTCCACGCACCTTAAATAATTAAGTACTTTGTGTGTCTTAGTCTAACCAGAGAGTACTGAGAAAGTGAAACTAGAGACTTGAGGAGGACGATAGCCAACATTTTAAACAACTTTTTTTTTTTTTTTTTTTACAGAAAAACAATTATTCTAATTTAATAGCAAATTTCAAATGGATTTTTTGACAGTTTTTTTGAGTTTTACATGTTAGGAAAAAGTGAAACCTGTTTTCCAAACTGAAGAGGAAGACATAAAATAAAATAAATATGTATGTGTTGGCGGCACGGTAGTGAAGTGGCTATAGCTGTTGCCTCACAGCAAAAAGTTCGCAGGTTGGCTTCCTGGCATTTCTATGTGGAGTTTGTTCTTCCTGTGCACGTGTGGGTGTCGCACGTTAAGTTAATTAGTGACTACATTGTCCCCAGGTGTGAGTGAGAATGGTTGTCTCTGTGTGTCCCTGTGATGGACTTCTGACCTGTCCAAGAAGTCCCCTATACCTGCTGGTTTTCAGAGCCAGACTCTTTTGTCTAACATCAGTAAAATCTTCACTGCATAGCAATATCTGTTGTCACCAGGCCATTCCCCCATCGGTGAATGGTATCTGTCTGGTCCCTGTACTGGTTTGGGAAACTGAAATTGATGATTTAGTATTAATTTACCATTATGGCCCTTTGGGGCTGAAATGGCTCTGCTCGGTGCAGTGACTGCAAACAGTCAACAAGTTAGCTGCAGACTTTATGTGATCGACAGACACACTGGATTACACCACTGCATCTACATTTGAATTCTGTAATACAGGGCAAGTGTTACTGACACTAAAAACAGCTGGGCGTGTGTTTTCTGTGCATACCAGTCAGTGCACTACACATCTGCCCCACTGGGTTGATTCTGGATTAAAAGGGTGCTGAAACTGAATGAACTGATACTTCTAAAGAAACTGAAAGGATTGTATTTAATTCTGGATTGCAGTTGTATATTATTTATGATAGCATATATGTATTTTGATTCATGAAGTATTTTACTCTAGCATGCATGCACCATGAAGGTAAAAACTGAAAAGGTCACATTTTTTAATGAATTATGACCAAATATGACGTAATGCTCACTGATAAAACGAGATGCCACATTTTGTGAAGTGCAGGCTTCAGTGATTATGACAATTAATGGCACTGGATGCCAAAGGTGAGTTTCGGATATTTGATTTTACATTTATGATCTGCAGCCATTCTGGATGTATTTAAGGTCCACGTCTCAAAATGTCAGCACAGATTCTTCCATGCCAGTGTTTGTTTATTTCAGCGGTTTATCCCCCTGATTGTGTAGCCTGGCTGCTCCACTGCGACATAAATCATTAAACCGTCTGACTCACCAGGGTGAAGACAAATAAGTAAAAAAAAAATTAACTCTTAAAATGAACTAAAAACTCTTTAGAAGAGATGTTAATGTGGAGCCTCGCAGCCTGTTGCTCTACTGTGGGGGTCTGAAACATGCAGGCCAGATGTGTCCTCAGTAACCATGGCACCAGCCCAGCTGTGTGCGCAAATACGTGCGTCGCGCTTCACCATGAGCGCCACTTGTCTATAAATATGACAGCATTTAACTCCCACCTTAAAAGAAAGTGAGTCATTCTATCGTTCAATCAAGAACATTTGATCAAAATAAGACTTAAGTTTAATTTTGATCAACTTCAGCAAGTTTGTTTGTCGAAGTCAGTGACACCTGCTCCTCTCTGAATGTTCCAGAACGCCTGCGTTAATGTTCTCACATGCCTTCTGATCACATTACTCCTTCCTGTTAGTCATGTGATTGTTCCTGGCAGGCAGCATATGGCCGTCTTGTGTAACGGTGCTGACAAAAAGTCATCCAGTCACTCCTGCTGCTGACCAAGTGTGACCTCCTCTCTTAGCTTCTCATTAACCTGCTGGAGTTTCTCTTTCTGCCTCTGTACAGGAGAAAAACACTCCTGTGTCTGTGTTGGAAACCTCCCCCCTCCTTTGAGCCTTCCCTTCCCTCCTCTTCCTCTTCTATGCTGCTGGCTCTATATGTGGCACTGGAGCTGCTGTAAGAATCGGGTCCAAATGTTTTCCATATTAGTTCAGAGCCGTGTCTGTTTTCAAACAGCAGCTGAGCTGGGCTTGGTGAAAAAAGCAGGCAGGGAGGGTGAGAGGCAGCCAGCAGTCAGACTCGCCCACTCCAAAGAGAGTAACAGGAAGAAAAAAGTGGTGAAGACAAAACAGAGAGAAGAGAGTGGAAGCCTGGAGGAAGAATGGGACAGGGACAGAAAGGTTTCAAAGACAAGAAGGGGAGCAAGAGGAGGGATGACAGCCCGCCACCAGAGGACGGTGATAAGTGCAGAGTGTGTCGTTTCCCTCTGCTCGTCGCCCTGCTGCAGCTCCTGTTGGGGGTGGCTGTCACAGCCATGGCCTTCCTCACGTTGGCTATCAGCCCCTCGCTCCTGGCCAGGGAGACGCCTCACTGGGCTGGGATCATTGTAAGCGTCTGCTCTGTCCACAGCCACTGCATGGAGCATGAATCTCATTTCTTATATAACACTTGCATGACCCTCAGCTCTGTTACCCTGAGTGATCACACCAATTCTCACATTCAGATAAACCTCCGTCTGAACACATTCACCTAAACGCCTGCTCCTTCTGAGGCGCACGGCTCTGCACGCTCTGTTTGTGTTGTGCATTCAGGAAGCCCTCTGCAGCTGGAAGGCAAGCCAAGACATCCAGTCCCAGCACGGCATCTTCAACTTCTGAACACCGTGGAAACCCTTTTCCTATACAATATGCATACTTAACATACCTTCCTATAAACTTAAGTACATTTATTATTTGTGAGCACTGAAAACTGCTTGAGAAAGAGCTTTGTGTTGAAAAAAGTTGGATTTAAAGACTCTAAGTTGAGCATTGAGGTCATCAGACTGTAAATAATGTAATGAGGTTCAGACAGTTAAAGTATGTTAAAATCTCTGCATGCAAAGTGCCTGAATTGTCAGCTTTGGTTTAAAAAAAGTGTAAATCCAGATGCATATTTAAATTATCTTTGTTATAAGGGAGCAGGGTTTCTCTTTTACTCAATTTCTATGTAAATCAGCACAAAAAAGGTTAATTTTCCTCGTCATCTTAGCTTGGAATAAAAGATCTCCGGTGGTAAAAACACGTTCCTGGTTGGTCTTGGCCTCGAACAGAGGCCATCAGCTCTGAAAAACATTCCTGGACACCAACATCCCGAGTTAGATCCTCACGAGATTCAGCCGAGTGCAAAACATTGAGGTCATCAAGAACTTTCCAGAGAATCCTGAGTGCTTAAGAACCTGGGAAAAACAGTCAAATAAGATGCCGCACGTTAGTCACAAGACTTCGATTGCGCTGCGGAGATAGAGTGTGAGTCTGTGTGTGTGAGAGAGGAGAGAGAATAACAAAGTAATATAATCAGATAGCAACTTACTCACTGCTGATTCATATAATATTAAGAAACATCCGGGACCAGATTGTTGTTTTTATACTACAATATAAAAGGGTGTAGAGGCTTCAAGCTGATACTTAGACGAAAAGGTTTAAAAATGCAAATAAATACATTTTATTGGAGGTTTTGATTAATTTGGAACGAAATGAAACCAAATGCACAAAACAAATTTCCTGTTTCTTGCAGCTTTGTTTAGTTTCCATCCTGGGTTTCATCCTCTACTGTATCAACTATCAACCCGATGAACGGTCATCTCTGCAGTTCATCGTAAAGGTGAGTTTACAGACAACCTGATGGACTTTCAGTCAAGTTTAAATCTGATTTCTCAAAAACGTAAAGTCACTTTCAAACAACCGAACACTGAGATATACAAGACAGATGATCTGTGCAGAGAACGAGGTTTTATCCTCTTGAGCTGCAAAGTGAGAATAGAATTGAACTACATTTCTGTAAAAAAGGGTCTAAGTGTTCTACTGCATGAAAATGCTCTGCAGGGATTCCTAAGCAGCAAAGAAGCACTTTCAATAATGCAGCCTAATTCTACAGCTTAATTAGTCCCACAATGCATGCAACTAAAATTTCAAGACAAGTACAATCAGTCCACGATTGTTTCCAAAGATGTTTTTAATTTCCTTTTTGTCCAGCTCTTCTCACACCATGCTCAAATGTATACTTTGTGGAAAATGTAAAATTGCTTCAAAGCAATGTTGTACAGCAAGAGCACAAGAACACAAAGTGCTCATAAATGTCCTCAAGGGAAGAATATAGTCTTTCTTATCACCTTCTGGGCAGGCTGCACCAGGACGCAGCAGCTTGGGCTTTACGTACACAGAGACATAGTGCTGACATCCTGCTCCATGATCATGGGTGGTTGAGCCGTTTGCTGATGTCAACGTTGTGAATTAAGTGGTCTGTGGTGGAGGTGGGGTTATGGTATGGGCAGGTTTATGTTATGGACAACAAACAAAGTGGTTGCTGTGCTTGCACATGGTCTGTGGTTGATAGGTCGGTTGGATGTACTGCCAAATTCTCTGAACATGGACATTCCTGCAGTCAGCAAACCAAATGCACGTTCCCTCAAAACTTTAGACATCTGTGGCATTGTGCTGTATGATAAAACTGCACATGTTAGCATGGCCTTTTATTGTGGTCAGCCTAAGGTACACCTGCACAATAATCATGCTGTCTAATCAGCATCTTGATATGCCACACCTGTGAGGTGGATGGATTATCCCAGCAAAGAAGTGCTCACTAAAACAGAGTTACACAAATTTGGGATTTATATTTGAGAGAAAAAGGCCTTTTGTGTACATAGAAAAAGTCTTAAAAATGTGTGCAAACAACAGAAGTGTTGAGTTTATATTTTTGGTCAGCATAAGTGCGTAGCTACATCTAGGTGTAAGAAAAGTTCCTATTGAAAAGTGGTCAAAATTCTAGATGGTCACTGGCCACTGCCATACTTACATACATACATACATACATGCATGTATGTATGTATGTATGTATGAAAACCAACAACCCCTATCATTTAAGAAAACTATACTTTCTAGTTTTTATATTGCTTATAAGTATAGTTTCCTTCAGATTATTGGAGTGGCCTGTGGCGTGGCCAAGTAGTAATATATGGTGGCCAAGGCCACCAATGGTCACCCTCTGACTCTGCCATTGCATCCGGTGGTGGATAAAATTGATCCCTTGGCTTGCTGTCAACCTTCACTCTGCACCGCTTTGGACAAGCAAAGAAATATCTAGTTCTGCTCTTCTACACAGTGTCACTTCTCCCCACACTTGAATAATTTGCACCAAAAACATTAAGGTTTACTTGTGTTCCCTGTTCAGTTCCAGTCCAGAGAAACACTCATCACATAACTTAAAAACAGTCACTATACAGACCCCTCAGCGATGGGGGACATCAATGTAGGGCTTGTTATTCTTGTCTTTGCAGCCATCTCTCGCTCTCTCTGAGATTATTCAGGGTCAAGGATGTCTAGTCTTGAACTTGAGACACTTTTGTCTCAGGATATCCCACAGTAAACAATAGTAAACTACATCCACTTTTTTTCCCTTTTGGCTGCTCCCTTCTTCAAGGGTCCCCACTGCCAACTAAGTCACATGAAGACTAAAAAAGTAAACAAAGTCGGAGATGGGGTAGAGGTAGCGCAGCCGACTTGGGACCCGAAAGTCCCAGGATCAAATCCCAGCCACTCCCACATGTAGTGGTGTCTCTGAGCAAGACACCTAATCCCCAATTGCTCCCCGGGCGCTTACATAGCTGCCCACTGCTTCACCTGGGTGTATCCCAGGTGCAATGGGTTAAATGCAGAGAACTAATTTCACCATTGTATGAGAACATACAACGATGACAACACATAGCACTCACTTACTTACAATAATAAACTACATCCACTATTGTTCTGTTTTTACCAATTTTCCATTTTCAAATGATGACCATTTTTTTTTCGATGCACTGGTTTTACAGTCTTCTCCTGATATAGCCTCTCAGCTGTTACATAGTTAACACAAATCCTTCTGCAAATCAAGAGCTGCTTGTCGCTTGCATAACTCCAAGAGCAGCAAGTAACTAAAGCTAAAAAGCAGCGGTGAATGAGGGCTCCCGTTATATAACAGATGGATTAGGATGAAGATTTAGTGTGTTTGAGATGGAGCAATTGCATAAACAACACAAAGCCACTGCTCCATGTATTTTTAGACGGTCTCTGCTGTTCAGGACCCTGACACAGGATGTGCATTAAAGGTGGATGGTGGCTGTAGCTGTCTGCCGGTGTCACCTGCGTTGCGACTCCTTTGTGCTAAAAGCTGGGCTCTCACTCCGAGGGTCAGACCTTGCCCTACAGCATTGTGGGTAATCTCTTTGAACTGAATTTGCAATAGGTATTGAGCCAGAACGCCTGTTTTTGAGCCATCATTTTAGCACCACTGGGGTAATCATGAGACAACAGACTCAAGCTAGATTATGATAATAATAATAATAATAAAAACTGCAGAAATGAAGTAAATAGATGTTTTTCCCTCATCAAAGCTTTCAGAGTTAAAGTTCATGACCTCACAGTGCATCTCTGCCCCCGACAGCTCCTGTACTTCATCTTGTGCACCACTGGCCTGGTCATCTCAGTGCTGGTCGTGGCGTTTGCTGGACACCATCACTCGCAGACCAGCAGCCTCATCTGTGAGCAGGAGGGAGGAGACTGCATGTGTGTACTGGATCAGGACGACCCAATCGCTCGCACCTTCATCTACGAGGACGTCAGTGACTGCGAGTCTGTAACCGGGACACTTCCTTTCTACTTCCTGATTCAGATCATGTTGAACCTGGCCCAAGCTTTGGTCTGTGCTGTGGGTACCTTCATCATGTGGAAGCATCGCTATCAGGTCTTCTTCTCTGGGCTGCAGATCAGCTCTCCTTCCACCCAGAAGTGGCAAAAAGTTTAGTAAAAGGGCCTCTTTTTGTTTGTGCCTTAGTGTGTCGTTACAGACAGGTAAGAAAACAGGCTAAAGGAAACGTTTTCAGACAGTAATTGCAATCAGAACATCTGCAGTGCTTCTTCACTTTGATTCGAGTCTGTAAACATCACTGAAGGGTCAAATCAGCCAAAACATTCTGTATTCCCTCATTTATTGTTTTTAAATTGGATTATCCAACACAGGGTGAAACACATCATATTTATCAGACCAGTCAGTGACACCTCAACCTCACATGGATGAAGGGTAGCAGTATGCAGCCCTGTGTGTACCTGGTACTTACCAAGTACTAATCTAGTCATTTCTTCGTGCTTACAGAATACAAACCTCTAACTAGAGAAATTGCATTTCCTGCAAAAATGTAGCGTGAATGCTTATTGCTGAAGAACTTGTTGAAAAACAGCTGAAATTAGCTAAAAACATGCTGAAATGGAAGAACAAGCCTAAGTTAGTAGAAGAAAGCAGAAAAAACGCATTTGCTGGATATGGTTTAAATAAGCAGAAATGAGCACAAAAATGAGTAAATTAGCTAAAATGCTGAAATTAGCAACAATAAAGGCTGAAAAATCAGAAATAAGCTTAAATTACCAGAAGGAAGTGGAGAAAGCACATTTTAGCAGAATTAGGCTGAAAAAAGTTGAAAGGAGTGCAAAAAATGCGAAATTAGCTTTAAAACAGCGAAATAGTAGCTGAAATAACTTAAACTAGCATGAATATGTTAAAAGGAGTGTAAAAAGCTAAAATTAACATAAAAAAATTAATTAGACTGAAAGACTTACCACAAAAATTTGAATTTACCCGAAAACAGTTGAAATTAGCAACAAAAAAAAAATGCTAAAAAGAAAAGGTAGCTGAAAAAGTAGAACAAGTTTAAATTATCAGATGAAAGCAGAAAGAACATGTTTGCCTTCTGAAAGAAGCAGAAATGTGCACAAAGAAGTGGAAATTATCTGAAAAAAGATGAAATTAGCACACACACACAAACCCCAGCTGAAAGTAGCTAAAGAGGCAGAAAGAGCTTAAATTATAGCAGAAGGAAGTGAAGAGAACATATCCAGCAATTTTCAGTCAGATCATCTGGACAGTTTATTTTATTTTTTTTTTTGTGCTGAAATGTTTCACCTTCCATCCAGAAGGCTTCATCAATCAAGGAAACAACACAAAACTGATTCTTCTCCCAACAGCTTACTCCAAAGTGGAACAAACCAGTTATGTAGGTACTAAGATGGTCTCTTTGGCACGCCCCCTCCTCCAGTGCCGGCCCTCTCCCTCATCAACAGTCATGTCAAACTGGTTCAAAACCAAAAAAGTCCATGCTCAATAATCCAGGTATACAATCCAACAATTTTCAGTCAGGTCATCTGGACAGTTTCTTTCTTTTTGTGCTGAAACATTGGAGTAAGCTGTTGGGGGAAGAATCAGTTTTGTGTTGTGTGTTTCCTTGACTGATGAAGCCTTTCGGATAGAAGGTGAAATGTTTCAGCACACACAAAAAAAAGAAACTGTCCAGATGACCTGACTGAAAATTTTTGGATGGTATACCTGGATTACTGAGCATGGACTTTGATGGAGAGAACATATTTTTGCTGAATTAGGCTGAAAAAAATTGAAATAAGTGCAAAAAATGTGGAATTAGCCAAAAAAAGCTAAATTAGCTTAAAAACAGCTAAATAGTAGCTGAAATAGCAGAAAAAGCTGAAACTTGCATAAATAAGCAGAAATTAGCAGAAAGAATCAAAAAGGATCACAAAATAGCTGAAAAAAACCCCCAGCTGAAATTAGCTGAAAGTAGCTGAAAAATGTTTAAATTTGCACAAGGAAGCTGAAAGAAGCTGAACCAGAACAAAATGTCAAAGCAGCGGTAAAAAGTTGTAAATAGATCTAAAGATTTGAAGGAGGTAAAATGAGCTCAATTCATTTTCTATGTGAAAAAAGTGGCAGAAATGGATAAATATTTCAAAAAGGTAAATTTGCACCAATACCAAAGTCCAATCAGCCTTCTCCTGAATGAGCTGAACATTTTGAGATATGATTTGTTGAAATAGCAAAAAAATTGTGGAACGAGAAAAATGCTGAAAAACATATGGAAGGAAAATGGATCACAATAGTGTTAATACTTAATAAGCATTCACACTATTAATGGGTATATTCCATGTGTATCGAGTACCTGCCTGGTACTTAGGTACACCTGGTTCTTATCTCAAATGGAACATGTATCTACCATGTACATCAGAATCAGAATAAGAATCAGCCTTTATTGTCATTTCAGTACAGCCAGTCCAAGAAACACAAACAACCAAACAGCATAGCCAAGGGAAGACAGGGATGCCTGAGGCTGCAGCTTCATGAGAGGTGCTGTCTTTTTTCATTAGATAAAAAAGGCAACACGAGGGAAAGAAGTAAAAAAATAAAAATAAAAAAACATAACTCACACTGTATCCCTAACAGGACACACTGTGAGGTTGCAAAAACCTCAGCACACAAAAAAAGCAACATAAATGTTCACAGGACAAGGAGCAGAAGCTGGGGAAGGAACAGGAGGAAAAAGCGTCCGCCTTCGCCGAGCGCAAGAAGGAAAAATAAAAGACTTAGTACATACCAGGTACTTACCGGGTACTTTTTGTGTACATAATATGTGGTATCTCTTTATCTTGTGGTGTGATATTTATTTAAGTTCTGTTGGAACTGGGCTGTTCCAACAGGATGCACGTCTTTCGCTGGTGGTAATACACAATATCGCTTGGTACATGTACCCATTAAATACCCGTTTAATACCAATAGAAGTAAATATTACAGAATAAAGAAATTTGCTGAACCTCAGACCTGATCTTCATCACAAAGAAAAAGATGTTGGTTTTGTTCTTTACCTTCTCATCGCTCTGCATCAGCGTTTATAGGGTTTGTGAGTAATGATGGCTTTTTGCTCACATTTTGTATAATAAGTAACAAACTTTGTATTTGTCAAACATGAATAGAGTCGGATTTTAACTGACAACTGTTTCCATCATGAAAAACAGAACCACTTGTTTTCTGTTTGGAATTAATTGGACATTTATCCTCTTTTGTATGTTCATTGCAGAGCTTGCTATGCTCCAAGGAAATCCCTGAAATCAGCGTCACTGATTTGAGGCTCCAATAGTGGTTTTAGTTGTTGAGATTTACTGATTAGGAAGAGTTTCTCCTTTAGGTTTCATACAGGCTTTCTGCATACGACTTGTTATGATTTTGAGAAAAGCACCAGAGATTTTTAAATGGATAAAGCCTCCCAGATGGGAAGCGAAACGTCTTCAGCTTCAGAATAAATGTCCAGTTGTTTTTGTTTTTTAACCTTTTTTTTTAATTTGTTCTGTCATAGAGTTTGTTGTATATCCTCAAGCTGTAGAAAATACTTTTGTATAATAAAAAGGTCAACTATTAAACACGGCAGCAGACACCCTCCATTCTTTCTCTGATAAAAGCTTAAGTGACATTTTTTGTTACTTTGTAATAATAAAATCACTAAAACTGAGTCTTTAGCTGAGCTGCTGACAGCGTGTGTTCATTTAAACAAGGACAAAAAAAACACTGGTGTCCATAATAAACTATTTACAGCAGCCGAAGTGTTTTTCAGTTGAGAATCATACGTGGCAACAAAACCTTCAGAAACAGTCTGGACAGACCACGCTTCACTGGAACCAGACTGAAACTGAGCTGCGAAGGTGGATTCCACACCAGTAGTCAGCGTGACTCAACCAGCCTGTGGGAGGTAAACTGCTTCAGCCACTAAAGGGAGGGGGACAGAGGCAAGAGCTGGGGGGAGGAAAGGGGGACTCAGGCGGGAAGCTGGAGTGATCATTCAGACAGGATTAGGCAAAAGTTGTTTTCATTTCATTTTTAACTTGCTCCGTCTTTCCCCTGGTGGCCTGACATCAGCTTAAACTGTACACACACACACACACACACACACACACACACACACACAAAGTTGGTATCTTTTTTCCTCATCTGTATTTGATGAATGAAAGGATTTCATGACTGAAAAAACATCAACACCGTGTTTGTTTCATGGTCATTTTATTTTTTAAAGTTTTCTATACTGCGTGTGCCGACACATAGTTTCCTTCCTTTATTTACTTGAAGATATACAGTACTTCAAAGTTTATGCTCAGTAATCCAGGTAATAAATCTAGCAACGTTAAGTCAGGTCCTCTGGACGGTTTCTTTGTGTTGAAACATTTTGCTTTTAATCCAAAGGACTTCATCAGTCCGAAGAGCCACAACAAACTCAGTCCCATGAAGAGCACACTCACATTGTGGACCAACCAGTTTGATGGTGATAAGATGGTTTCTGGAGTTTGTCCTCTCCTCCGTCAACTCCTCTGAGGCAGCCATGAACTGCCAGGACTGATGTAGTCCTTTGGATGACGGACAGACAGTCACAGGAACTGACTTAACTTTGTTGGATTTTTTTTTTACCTGGATTACTGAGCATGAACTTTGATGTTTTGAACCACTTTAGCCATGGCTGCCTCAGAGGAGTCGACAGAGAGAGGGTGGACTCCAGAAACCATCTTATCACCATCAAACTGGTTGGCCCACTATGTGAGTGTGCTTGTGGGACTGAGTTTGTTGTGACTCCTTGGACTGATGAAGTCCTTTGGATGAAAGATGAATCATTTCAGCACAAAGAAACCGTTCAGAGGACCTGATATATACAGATGTGCTAATGTTTTCAGTCATCCAGCATTGTCTTTACAGTTCGCTTCCAAGAAGTAAAACCTTCTTGTATTCTTTTGAATAAATTATTAGAAACATCTAACTTTCTGCTGGTCTTTATTTGTTTATTTATTTTTGGGCTGTTTTTCCCCACTATATTTTTTGTCTACTACGTGACAATTTTCAGATGAATGTTTTTCACTTGTTGAACCATTCCATTCTGATCTTTGAATCGTCCGGGCATTTAAAGGCTCTGAAATGTTGTGTCGGCACAAAAACAGTTTCAAAAATCAAAAATCCTGTTTTAAAATTGTCTCTTTGTGTAATTTGTTACCATCAGCCTGTCACACAGACACGTCGTTCCCATTACTTCAGCTGAGCCCATGATAAACACCACAGCTTTATAAATATTAAACGGGTGATTTCCAGAAAGCTATTAGCTGAACCCCTGACATCCAGTTGACTGAAGATGCATCTGTCAGCTTTTTGTTGAGTTTTTTCCTGTTTCATAAATATATGACATATAATGTTCATTAGCTGTTGATATTGCAAGATGACACTTAGAACATGCGTTGTGAACAACTCTCAGCTACTACCATGTCCAACTTTAGCGCAATATCCGTTACTGCTATTTTAGTGTTGGGTAATATTGGTTAGCTGTGGCAACCATTTTAAATTGGATTCACTCCAAAAGTTAAACGGTTGTAGGTAAATGTATTTTGATTAAGTTTAGAAAGTTTCATTAAAATCCACTCAGTAGTCCTTGAGATATTTTGCTAACAGACAGAGTTGACTCCAACAATTAATGCTAAAAGTAAAAATAAAAAGCACTTGAAGTTTGGCTTGTGGACGACTCGCAGCTACATCCACACCAAATGCTCTACAACATCTGTAAACCTGACAGAACTATAACTGTTTTTGTGTTCTCTAATGAGACTTGGCTGTGGCGGCCATATTGAATTTGGGTCCGAATGTTAAGCAGGTGTTGTACATTTACTGATCACTTTCAGCTAGTTTTGTTTTGATCGCACGCAGACGAAAGCAACGACATCATCAGCCACTCTTTGCCTTTCGAGCAGTAAAGATTAGGAGAATGTCTGGCTCCTTGACGACATCAGAGGTGGTTTAAAACTTTTACACAGAACCGTTATCAGATGTGACTTTGACTGCAGTATGACTTCAGACTCCCTTCAGTCCATTTACAGTCAGTGAAAGATTAACTTCAACGTATCGGATCAGACAAGCGAGTGTGTGACACGGGGCGGACCTCTGTGGGCTTTTCATGGGCTTATTTTGTGTTCTGATGTCAGTTCATCATGTGACCACAAAGCTCGGGCTCAGACACGGGAAGTCACATGCAAGTCATCATGGGGGCAGGTTTATTTATAAAAATGACACTTGAGGAGAGGCCGTCCACCCAACTTCTCGTCAGCTTTTGGAGAAGTTGGTTGAACTTTCCAAACAAAGACAGAAACAATAAAAAAATACAACAAATGAAATGTTTATTAGTTAATCTTTATGTAAATTTAAACAGAAATATTCCTGCTGTCTTTTTTTTTTACACTTCACGGTTAAAGAAAAGCCTCCAGAGACAGAAGTGTTTGTTGGCCCTCTGAATACCAAAAGGTTAACTGCGTGACCTTTGTGGTTTATTAAAAAAAATATCCAAATGTGTCCAAGGCTGTGCTCATAAAGTAAATCATTCACTGCCCAGGTGAATTTAAAAATCACACAGAGGCTCGCTCTCTCTCACACAGGTGAAAAATTGTAAAAGATTTACCAGGATATAGCCATGTAGGCCGACAGGAGGATCACAACATGGCAATGAGACTTTTGCCAGACATTAATGACGGTGCTGATATTATCCACTCCCACTGTTTCCTCGTCTGAGTGCAACACATTCCAGTAATGCTGCACTTTAGCCCCGGAGTCTGTGCAGTGACAGCTGCTCACCATTATGGCACTGCGTGAACTAATTTTAATGGCTGTCACCGGCAGCAGGACTAAATGCAGGACTGCCAGCGTAAACAAAACGCGAAAAGCCAAGACGGATGGTTCTCACAGCGGAGGGTAAATGACAGAACGGGATAAAACACCAGTTTGCTTTCTGGGATTAGTCCATCACCTCAGATATGGAACAGGAACATTCAGATGATCACCTTAGATTTAAGCACAGTTCATAACTCAAGACCTTTAATGAGACGATTGTAGCCTTCAGAGCCTTGTGAATATATAACAGGTATAAAGTACCTGTTGTACCAACTCCAAAACTCAAATTACTTTTTTGGAATGTTATGTGATAAACCAACTCAAAGTAGTACATAACTGTGAGGTGGAAGAAAAACGACGCAAGATTTTCACCTATTTGTCCTATGCAACAAAGTTAAGTCAGGTCCTCTGGGCGGTTTCTGTTGAAACGTTTCGTCTTTCATCCAAAGGACTTCATCAGTCCAAGGAGCCACAACAAACTCAGTCTTATAAGCAGCACACTCACATAGTGCGTCAACCAGTTTGATGGTGATAAGATGGTTTCTGGAGTCCACCCTCTCCCCCGTCGACTCCTCTGAGGCAGCCATAGCCGAAGTGGTTCAAAACATCAAAGTTCATGCGCAATAATCCAGGTAAAAAATTCTGGGTCCAACTTTGGGTCTGGACAGTGGTCCAACATTTGACAATATAAAAAAAAAGGGGCAAGCTCTGCTCAGAAGCTGCTGACTGCTGTTACAAATTTATTATATCTGACCACATAAAATGCATTTTTATAAACGATGTATCAACAGAAAGTGTCACAGAACAGTTGCAATCAAGGTCATGCACTCATTTGTGCAGGATTTGAATCATAAAATCTCTTAGTAATCATCCACAGTTCGAGAAAAGTGACATCTTCACAAATTTATTAAGAGAATTAAGATTTTTTTAAATAAATATTACACTGTTAGCAGACATATTTTATAAAATAATTACTAATATGAGGACATTTTTAAGTAAGTCCTATACAGGTTACCATTTTTTATTCACATTTCTATTACTTCCAGTTTCCAACTCTGTAAAAAGGCAACAGAAGTGGTGAAGTGAACCTGAACAAGGAACAAACCAACACGTCCAGCTTTGACTTTTCCCTTTTAAAAAAAAGTGCACTTACAGCCATTGGAATGCCTTATGTAAAAAAAAAAAAAAAAGTTAAGGCAGCGTGTTATTTCAAAACACAAACATAATACTCCAGTTATGAACAGAAACATCTCCACGAATACAAACAGAAATCTAAAAAGGCTGTTTTGAGGAGACCGTTTGCTCTCGGTGAGCCTGCTCCACCTGGATGCCGGTGTTTGACCTCTGCCACCTGTGGAGGACTTCAGGCAAAGAGTGTTTGCAGGTTTCCCAGCACTGAACCGTTTCCCTGCTTCCCTGCCCAGCACAACAGAGCCCAGGCCAGTCCTCCGTCCTGCAGCTAAGTGGGCACATCTGGCACGTGCAGTCTCCAGATGAGCAGTTTTTATGTCATACAAAAAACAAAATGTTAAAAAAGAATTGAATCAACACTTGCTGATGACTTGTGGTATCAGTAATTGTAGTTGAGCATCATAAGTTGTTCTTAAGGCTAATGACTGTTTTTGCACCAGTGTCCAGTTACATGGACGCCTCCACCCCCCCACCACCTCAGTGTACTGAAATGTACTGGTTGGGCTGAAAAGGACCAAGAAATCCAAGTCTCTGCTTGTTCTTCCTCTGTTCCGTCATCTGTGGAGGAGACGGAAAGGAAACAATCAGGCTGGAGTGGATTTTAATTTAGCAGGAAACAAACACTTGTGTTTGCTCTATTACTGTTCTAGTGGGTGCTTTATCATGCAAACACACTATTCCCACAGACTCACATGTAACCACCGCAGTCCAGAGGGGTATTTGCCCGTTTGAACTTGAAGCACAGGCATGACTGCGTGAACGCATTCATTTAGACTGATCAAAATGATTCAGTGGGAAATTAATCAGTCTACTTCTGTCCTCTTTAAAAGGTATACATTGCGATGTCATGAAGACTGGGTGAAAAAGATCAGGAAAAAAACTAAATCTGCACAGTATTTTTCACCTGCTGATGGTAAATGTGTTCTTAAATACCAACAGCTGAACAGACGTTTCGAGACAAACCGATTCAAGGCAGCTAGCACAGCCAAGCCACCTTATCCAACAAGAAATGGGTTATAACTCCGTCAATTTATTCAAATAATGAGATCAAATCTGGTGTGGTAGTAGCTGAGAGTCTTTCCCAACACAAACTCTGAGCACAAGCTAATCACATAAGATCTGTTTTTAAAGGGATAGTCCCGTCAACTTTGAAGTGATGTTCTGTCAAATGTCCCGATGCGCAATAATCCAGGTAGATGAATCTAACAAGGTTAAGTCAGGTCCTCTGGATGGATTATACTTTGTTGAAATGTTTCGTTTTTTTATCCAAAAGACTTCTTCAGTCTGAGGAGCTGCAACACACTCAGTCTTTGGAGCAGCACCTTCTCATAGTGGACGAACCAGTTTGCTGGTGACAGCCAGAACTAGCTGTTCACATTGAAAAGGAGGACCAGCAATCTAACAATCGATCGTTAGTGCCCTGATGCAATAACAACATTGTAAGAGGGGGACAGTTGAACATGGAGGCCTCTGCTCATGTTTAACAACGGGTGGGCTCTCTTCACAAAGATGGCTTCCTTTACTCCTCTCTCAAACCATCATTCAGCTCCTCAGACGGAAGAAGTCTTTTGGACAAAAGACGAAACATTCCAACAAGAAAGAATCTGTCCAGAGGACCTGACTCAACCTTGTTAGATTCTGTCAAATAGTTATTAATAGTTAATACCTCATCAGCCGGGACATCAGTCAAAGAGCACAGAGTGTAGAGGAAAGGGCCAGTCTTTGTCCAGGCTAGGCTAATAACTAACTAAAAGACGGCTTGTTTTATTCAATTATTTTTTTCGCTTCTAAAACAACTCTTCAGGGTAAAAAACTTCAGCAGATATTAAACCTCTACACTTTTGCATGACACCATTTATGCTGATGGCGTCAAAGCTACTAAACGTTATCAGTCCACCAAACATTTAGTAAACGTTTAGACTGATCTGTCACACCCATCAGGTGGATCGACACATTCTGCAGCATCACCAGCATAAACACCATCCATTTATAGTCACAGCTGTTCCCGTAGAAACATGAACATTGTTTGCTTGAGAAAACGGCGACAAAATAAGTACTAACTATTGATAACGATTAGAAAGAACATCACTTCAAGTTGACTGGATTATCTCTAAAACTTTGAAAAATAACTGGCTAAGTCAACTGATAGTACTTCTGTCAGAGCTCCAGAGTTACAGATGTAGTAACCACCACGAATCTGGTGACTAGCACCCTGAGTGATGTTTGACTTCTCAAATCACCAGGCAGCTGGGTCAAGATAAAAAAATTTAAGTTGTGCGTGTTGATCATCTTTGGTGTTTGCATTAATGTGGAAAACAGCGGAGTGTGCAGCCATTCAGCGGTGCACGTGCACAAACACACATGCGCGTTAGCTGTAAGTGTGTTGTGAAATGAGGGTTGTAGCTGCAGGGGAACGTTCCTTCGAGACGTTTCAGAGAGCTGAGGGCAGAGCTGCAGTCAGGTCTCGTGTTTCTGCGTAAACACTCATGTCTAAAGACAAAACTTTCTACACTGCACACAACTTGATTTAGAATAAGGCTTCAAAAAGTCTCACAAACATTTTTCACTGAAGACTCAAGTTTTCATGAAGACGAATGCATCGTCTTTCACAGCAGACTGTCAAATTAAGATTGTCTTCTGATGAGAGGCAACATGGTTGGGTGACTCTGAAAGTTATAGCAGTTGTAGATGAACGTCCACTCTGAGGGTTTCACTGAAATTCATCCAGTGGTTTTAAAGATATTTTGCCAACAGACGGAGTTGTTTCCACTAGAATACAGTTAGCTGAGTATAGAGCTAGAATGGGCTCCTTACACAACAATATTTAGCTCATTGTCTGTAAAACTGACTGTCATGGTCAGTTTTGTGTTTATCACGATTACGTTATTGTGGCGGCCATCTTGAACTGGGTTGGCCCCAATCATTTTTAGAATGAATAAATTTTGTTTGATTATATAAAACTAAAATAGTTGTAGATGTCAATCCAGTTACTACTTTTTGTTTCATTCAAATCTGTTCAGTGATTCACGAGATATTTTGCTAACATTACAGACAGATGAACGGACAGAGATAAGAGCTAAATTAATATAGCTCCACTTTTCCCTTGGCAGAGAGCCATAAAACAGCAACAGTATCTTTGCTCAAGGGCGCTTCGGCGGCAGACAACCTCAGTTGTTAAAACGGGGTTATACGAGTGGTCCCAGGCAGCAGGGAGCTTTACGGCCTTTACGACTCGCCGAGGTCAGCAGAGGATGTTGTTTTGTTTACTGGAGTGTGATCCTCCCTCAGCAGGAGCTGTTTTTGCACATCTGGCACAAGGGGAACAAGGACGGGCCTGTGACTGGAATCACATGCAGAGGAGGCAGGTGATGGGAGTGATCAGTCACACTGCAGCAGCCGAGCTAGTCAGCCAAACAGCCAGAGGCTCACAGGCGGCTCTCGGCTGCGTTCGCTGCTTACGCAAAAGTCACCTGTCGTGGTGCATTCAGTGGCGTCCGACGACTGACAGAGCCTGTCTACGTTACTTGGCTCAGAACAGAGATTTGTGACAAATAGACCCCGATGAATCAGTCTGGTTTGTGTGACCTTTTGGTCTGCTGGTGTTTTGTCTTAAAAGTAAATAAAAAAATAAAAAAAACAAACAGCCTCATTGTCAGAAGGCATTCTGAGTTCAGACTAGCTGCTGAGCAAAGCAAATTATAAAACACTACTCTTAGAAATAAGACTAAATCAAGGAGTGCATGCCACCTGATGCAATTCATGCCAGAGTTTTAGATTAAGAACATCTTATGTTGACACATTTATTTTATTTATTTAACCTTTATTCATACAGTTTGTCTCACTGAGTCACGAGGACTCATTTTCAAGAGAGATCTGTTTGGGAGCAGATGGTGGAAGTCAAGGGCCGAGGTAGGGCAAAGGAGGGTGGAGGCAGGTGTGGGCGCTTCACCTTTTCCACCCACATTTTGATGTTGTCAGACCGGGAAGTCGAACCGGCGACCTTCCAATCACAGGCCTACCTTCTCTAACCACTGCACCACCACTCCCCCAAATGACAAAGTTGTAGCTGTTTTGGTTAGGGATGCACGATATTATCGGCATGGTAATGGCCGATATTAGCGATAAAATATCAGACATTGGCCATTCCATCAAAATAACTCATCGATATAAAAGGCACAGTTTTTTATATATATTATATATTTATGTAGTGTTACATCATTTTCAGCCGCCTTTTTGGCATCTGCATTTGGTAGCAGGCCAAATAGACAAAGGGTAATGTAGTATTTTAATTCCAGAGTAGAGAAAGCTTTGTAGTCTCTGTTAGTAGGTCTAGGGAAACAAATATCAGTATTGGTTATCGGTCAAATAAGTTTTAATATATCGGCATATTGGATATCAGCCAGAAATCCAATATCGCGCATCCCTAGTTTTGGTCAAATCTTTTATGCTCGTGGGAGATTTCGCACTCAAAAAATGTGTTGTGAATGACTCTCATCTACTACCACATCAGGTTTTTACTCATTACCTGTAAAACCTTACCTTTCTAAGATCAGCTGGCTGTGGTGGCTATCTTTAGTTGGATTAGTTACAAAAGTTAAATCAACTGCAAATGAACATTTAATCATTACTTTAAGCAAATTTCATTTAAATGTATTCAATGGTTTGAGATATTTTGCTTACAGACAGACACTTGCAAACAGCAGCGAGCATTAACGAGCTAAATTGACATTGTACCTGTTCCTTGAGCTCAGCCAGCTGGCCTGAGAGCTGAGCTACCAGAGTGACCGTGCTCTCCAGTTTCTCCTGCAGGGATCGCATCTCGTTCTGCTCGTTGTCTCCCTCGCTGCTCACCAGAGACATGGCTCTCATACGAGGGAACCACTCCAGATTCTTCTCCTGCAGGAACCAAGGTCAGACACGAGAAAGTCAGCGTTAAGGGGCGAAACGAATAAAAAGCTGACTAAATGAGCTCGCAGAGGTGGCAACAACACTGATGCTACAAGATTTGCATAGACATGCAGGGAGTGTTACGGTGCTAAAACCAGCCTGCGGGAGGAGAGTAAACAGAGGTGGTGGTGAGCGGAGACGGGCGTGAAGGTTTAACGTTAATCATCTCATCAGTATGGAGGCTGCTCTCTGTTTTGTGCTCGACGGTAGAGAATTTTTTACCGCTGCTCCACCGTCTCCTGGTTACCGCACATCACAGTAATACACTAAACGAACAGTAACTGGCATATAAATTCTCACCCACTCCATAAACACATTGTTGATGAGCGGATGATTCACTGTCACCCATCAGCAGCACAACTGGAGCTATAGTGTTACTTATGAGGGATGTGCTCACATGCAAAATGTCCACTTAATTATCCATTTATCCCCCCCCCCCCCCCTCCTCCAAACGTGCAAACATCTGCAGCAAGGCTTGAAAACGGTGCAAAGTAAATCTATGGAATTATGTAACGGGCTTCTGTGCATCTGCGTTTGCACCTGTGTGGGTGTGTGTGATGTTGGCGAGCATCTGCATGGGAAGCGGAAATGTGTTTTACAACTTGTATACTCTTGTGCAAAGTGAGATAGGTTTCACGGAGACAGGCTCTCATCAGCTGATCTTATGTAATATTCCTTTGTCAGTTCTCCTGATAAAAAAAAATCATTTACAAGGTGCTGATAGCGTGATTTGACTGGCACCACTTTAGGTCCACTGGGAGCAGCGAGCGACGTGTGCTCCCACCTACTCTTATATAAGAATAGACTACGGTGATGGAGAGGATGATGAAGAGTGCGAGACGATGAGGATTAAAGGTGAAGGCAGTACAGTCTGAGGGAGGATGAAGGTGTGTCTGCCATTTGCTTTTTGTTTCTCTGATTAATGGGGTTTTCTCTTTTACATGATTAAAACAATAATTGCTCTGACCTAATATGGGCTTTAACGTCACACTGAATAAAACAAATCATTACATTTAATCTAAAAACAAACAATAAAGATAATCAGAATCAGACGAGCATCAGCAATCACCGTTTTATTCTAAACTTTGATTCAAAGCCTGGGTTTAAATTAGTACAAAACAGGAAGTTACAGTACTGCAAAGTTCCCAATTCTGTCAAAAACACTCAAATTAAAGTTGTATTCTTTGGAAGAATGCATATCTCGCTCCCCTAAAGCCAACATTTTAAATAAAGACATCTTTCTCTTTCAGTCATCTAAATAAGTCACTTATTGACTTTATTTTTTAGCCATTTTCAGACTTTTTGACTCAACAGTATGAAAAGTCCTTTTTTTTTCTCAAAGATATGACCCAAAAATGCAGTGATAATTAGAGCCTCTGGCATGGAGGGGATGATAAAAACAGAACACTTTTCTTATTATTAAAAAAACAAAATACAATGACAGCTCTGTGAGCTGGGAGCCACCCGACACTCCATTTAAATAATCCAGAACTGATTGATTACAATCTCACAGATGTGATTATTCTTTGTGCATGAAATCACTTGTACTGGTTGAGGAGTAGTTGCCCCTTAAACAAAAAAGTTCAACTGTGACTGCAGGATCTGAACAATCCCGCTCATCTCCTGCCGCTCGTCACTGGACTCGACTCTGCTCTCCTGCCTGAGTGAGTCAGGCGTCAGTGTTCCTTCAGTGATCACATCACTGAGCACATTTTACAGACGCTCTTTTTCTTCTGCTTCTCAGGCATCGCTGAAAATAACTGACTAGTTGCACCTCTTCAATAGTCACTGATTTTATTACTTCAAGTTCTTTCTCGCTTAATTAGTCAATATTGGATTGTTATTTTAGCTGAATGGATATTTACATAAAACCTAATAGAAGTTCCATTTTTGAATAGATGAATATACAGTATATATATATATATATATATATATATATATATATATAGTGTATATATATATATATATATATATATATATAATACAGGCTTCTTACTGTGAGCTGTCAAGGTTGTTGTAATTAAATTTATGCTAAATAAATCAGCCGTTGATTCTGGAATATTAGCCAATGATAAACCCTTTATTTATTTATTTTAAATTATCCAGTTTAGGATGTTCAGACTGTAGCACAGAAACAGTACCAGGAAAGGATGTACGTACTGACCCGTCAAAACATTTAGATCTCAAAGCTGCTTTTGATCCAGTCAATTGCAACGTATTCCTGCAGAGGCTTGAACATGCTTTTTGAGATGACAGAAATTTCAAAAGGCCAGGATAACCTACTTTTATCCAATATATAATGGATTGTTTATCTGAATGATGAATTTTACTTAGCACTTTGTCTTGGAGTTCCACAAGATATTTTGCTTGGACTCATACTTTTCATTTGATCACTTTTGTTATGTAATTTTAGTCTGCATGGAATACATTTTCTTTGTTTTGCATATCATATTGAGCTGTATTGGTTCTAAAATTGGGATTAATCTTGGTTTTATGTGACAGTTAGAATAGAAACATGCTTTAAAGACAAAAAGGATTGACTTAACTTTCACATCCTAAATTCAGCTGATAGAAGTTGTTGTTTTTAACCCATGTTATGTATTGTATCCACGTTGCCACTCATAAAGGCATAAAAAAATTGCCTTTAGTATTTCTGCAGGGACACTGCAGTCTTTTATGTAATGGCTATAATCTGTACTCACTCCTTAAGCAATTTTGTAAATCCTCTCTCGTGCTGTATTGACAAAATTAAGATTTTTCTGTTTCAAAACAAACATTTATCTAAAGCACAACCTGTGATAGTTCTGTGATCTTAAATTAGTTTACATCCACTTTTAAATACAAATAGTATTCATAACTTCCACTTTCTTAAATAAATATTATTTTAACAAGAGAGTAGGGGCTTAGCAGTATGCCCAAGTCATGGCTCCACACGCACACACGCACACACGCACACACGCACGCACACACACACACACACCATAAATCACCTAAAGCATGAGGGTCAGGGGTTTAGTACAATAGGAAATAGAAACAATTGCAATAAGCTTTTTTCCCAACATACAATACAACATTTCAAGAAACAGTGACAAAACAAACAAACAAACAACTCATCTATGCAGGTCAGGTCTAAGGTCATGCAAAATTGGATTTGTCACGTTGGTAAGTATAAAAATGACGAATAAATTATTTTACTGTGTTTTTAACAGTAAACCACATGATGTGTGTTGAACTGAAAGCTTGATAAACTCCAAGTCTTCTCTTAAAAAAAATAAATCAAGGAGTGTTTCCTTCAGAAAATTAGTTTTGGAGCGATGCAAAATAAAAAGCAACACATCTCAATGTCGAAATATAAAACTAATTTGACGTGAAACACTCAAACTTAGTTTCTCAGCGGGCTGAGTTAGGCCTGTCGCGATAAACAATAAATCAATTAATCGCATGATAAATGAAAATTATCCACCTCATTTTCATTTATCGGCTTTATCGTTTCTTCGTGTCTCCCTCTTTCTACTGAAGACACTGGATGACAAAGGCTCAACTCCGGTGCTCTTCACTGCCCCCTCCCTTTCTCTTTAAAATCAATTTTAACTGTTCAAAATCGCGTTTTTGGATCATTAAAAGCAGCTAAGCTGAGAAGCTAAGCTATGATCTAAGCTAACAGGCTAACCTTGGGGAAAAACCTCCGTCTTGTTGAGGCTCCAAAATTCACGGTTGAAACCTGTGCCTTCATGTAAATTTTTTTTTTCCTGCAAAAAGAAGCTGAGAACTTGTTTATTGATTTTTTTATTAAAAGCTTTGTGTGACAAATGCTATGTTAAAGAGATCAAACCACACCGAGCGTTTGCCTCTTTGAGAACTGAAAAAAGGAAGGACAGACAGCCCATGTCACATCAAGGAGCCTCCCTCCCATTTTTCTTAAAGAGACACGCTGCTCGCTCCCTCACTATCCATAATTACCATTATAATTACCAATTATTGTCAATTTTCAAACGATATTATCGTTTATCGCAATAATTTCTGAGACAATTAATCGGCCAGCAAAATTTGTTATTGTGACAGGCCTAAGCTGAGTGCTTTCACAAAGAAAAAAATAAGAACATTTGATATCAAAGATGTTGAATAAATATACAAATAGCTTGCTACAGAACTGTTCAAAGTCCAGATTACATGAAACAACTTCTTGCCATACTTGCATCTTTCACCTCTTTTCACTGCAGCCCTCTGCTTTTCCCACAAAGGGGATTTGAATAAAACAGGCAGGACTTTAAGCTTCTAACAGTTATTCTGAACCAACCGCGCTTTGTTTGACGTAGAGCGCTTTAAATAAAATCTTGCTTTGCTTATTTTTGGTCGGCGTTGGTGGAATAATGCAGCTAAATTAAACGTGCGCCTGCTCCATCTAATTCATATTCTCATCCTAAATGTATCAAACTGTCATGGTACAAGTACAAGTACTATTATACTACTACAAGAGAGACTGTTTCATTATTTTTTGTAAACTTGAATAATTATGAAATAAATTATTATTTTTTTAAATAGATTAGTAGACAATGTATCCCTTATTAACATCTCAAACCATTTTGGTCTGAAATTTAAGATAAAATTCAATTAAACTGTTACTGACAACGTTTATAACCAGCAGTCAGCGATTCAGACATTTGGAGATTATATGACATGAATCATGAAATTAATAAAGCCCTCAAACTGACATGCTTGTTCCTGACCGTCAGTGAGCAGTTAATGAAGATCTAAACTAGATGTCACTAAATCAGTCTGTCCTTGGTCATCAGCTGAAGTTAAAACACATGGCCATTTGATCCCATCTCGTGCTGCTTTTAGAACAGACAACTTGTTCCATGCGTGTGGTAAATGGAGTGATCATGAAGTCAGTGTGTGTGTCTCTGTGTGTGTGTGTGAGAGAGAGAGAGAGACTGTAAGAAAGAGAA